TAGAAAGGATGAACTTTTGGTTTCGGGTGTGCGCGTTAGGTGGAGCGGTCCCCCGTGCATCCAGAGCCGCAACAAGGAATGCCTGCCTCTAAAACTTCAGGCTGAGTCTGAGAGGGTCCTTTGGAGTCTGGATTTATGGTAACAAGGCGAGAGAATGGAAGATCTTCGCATTTTCTGGCAGCTGCTGTGTTTGTGAGTTTGAGGAACAGCCTTCGGAGCAGCAATGTCCCTGCTGCAGGCGCAGCCCCTCGCTCGGTGGGGAGAGGACAAACAGGTCTCACCCACGTCTGGTTTTTAACGAGCCAGTTCTGCTGGTGCAAAGTGTCTGCCTGCGACTCTGGAGACAGAGAAGTCACAGAAACTATGGCTCCCGCTGTTCAGCCCCTCTGTAACTGCTTCTGTGATTAAACATTTGTTGCTCAGCAGTTGACAGGCTGACATTTTTGCTGCCATTGCCTTCAGTTTCCCGTTTGTTTTTCCATCAGAGCCAGAGCGGAGGCACGGCCTGGTTGAGGATTAAGGGGGAATATACACAAAGAAACTGCCACTGCCAGCTCTCTGCAGCCACACGACTCCACATTCCAGCACCGACTCTGTTCCCAGCCAGGCCTGTCCCTCTGCCATGGGAGGGTGAAGAAGCTCACCCAGGCCAGGCAAAGCCCGTCCGGCTCCAGCGGCACTCGGAAGGTGGTGGGGTGCAGCTCCCGTGGCCGAGAGACGGCATGGGCCGTGCAAGGGTAATGTGAGCCCCTGATTTGCTGCTGATTTTGCTCAGAAAAGCAAATTTCTCTGCATCCTTTTCTAAGAAGAGAATAATGAGCTCTCACCTCGGTTGGTGGGACCACAGAGGGCTCCCAGCTGCTCAGCACGCCGCATAAGCGGCAGAAGCACTCAGATGGGAGGCCTTGTTCGGCTGCAGCCTTTTCAGCCTCCAATAAATAACCATCGAGCACCGTCTTCTCTGGAGAGAGAGGCTTTTCTTCTGCCTGCCCTGCACAGCTGACAGTTGCATGGGATTACACAAGAAAAATCGGGAGTCCCCTCCAAATTGTTTTTAACTATTTCCAGGAGGGTTGTCTCTTGTTTCTAGACCTCCCTGGAGACTGTTTATCTACACCGGACAGACGTCCATGTTGCCTCGCATAGCCTCTCGCACACCCTGCTGTGCCAAACGATTGACCTTGAGGAGATTTTCTCAGTTCAAGGTCTCCTCCTCCCCAGTAGAGACTGGGCTGGGGACGGATGAGTCTTCCAGGGTAGGCTGTGAATGCTGCCCATCCACAAACATTGTTACGCTCATCAAACTCCTAAAAGTATGAGCTACTCCCTCAGGGGTGGAATAACAGAAGTGTCAACCACCTCCAGTGAGCTGAAAAGGCAGATGGTTTGTAAGTGGACAGCTTGGAGCTGGGGGGTTGATTGACAGCCGGCTGAACAGGAGCCAGCAGTGTGCCCAGGGGGCCAAGGAGGACAACGGCATCCTGGCTGGTGTCAGCACTGGCGTGGCCAGCAGCGACAGGGAAGGGATCTGAGCCCTGGGCTCGGCACTGGGGAGGCCGCCCCTCGCTGAGGGGGTTCAGTGTTGGGCCCCTCACCCCAAAAAGGCCATTGAGTGACTCGAGCGTGGGCAGAGAAGGGCAACGGAGCTGGGGCAGGGTCTGGAGCACAGGTCTGCTGGGGAGCGGCTGGGGGAACTGGGGGGGTTCAGTCTGGAGAAGAGGAGGCTGAGGGGAGACCTCCTGGCCCTCGGCAACTCCCTGCCAGGAGGGGGCAGAGAGGGGGGATGAGTCTCTGGAGCCAAGG